GAGCTCAGTCACGGTATTTTGAGTTATTTTGGCCACAAACAAAATTACCTTTAAATGGTAGGAAACCTGAAAATAACAGTTTAAGAAGATAGAAAAACACCACAGACATAATGATAAACCATAAAGGAACACGGATGGCTAAGGATGGAGAAGATTGACACGGATTGCAAACGACGAATTTGAAAAATTGAGGCTGAACGTTTCAATATGCGCAAACCGTGACTGAGCTCCTTTAACTGTCAGCTGAGACCTGACGTGTTGTTTAAGTGACAGCTGAGATCTGAGTTGGGCAAAATTGACTGATAGCTGAGAAATGGTCCGTAATTTACCGACTGCTAGGAAGTTGCTAAAATTTCAGCTTAGGAGTGGATCATTTCACTTTTGGGTGTGGATGATTTGGTACAGGCACAATTTTTTTAACCTTTACTTATACTAGGATATGTGGATGCATGATATTTCTTTTCTAAGTGTAACAGGCTTTTCTCTCGGCTCACTGAACCTGCGTGATTGTTTTTTTCTCGGAAGTGGTTATGTGCATGAATTTGTTTGGTACAAATATGATTGCGGGTTATTATTTTTTTTAAACCACGACCCGCTCAAAAATCAAATGGTCCCCCTTTGTAACTAATATTCCAGCACCTCCATTCAGGCCCTCTTTATCTGACTGATCAGTTTTGTTTCAGCCACTTACTCTGTTATTCATAATAGCCTGGGCTGCCTGTGACTTTCTACTCTTGATGGAGGCCATCTCCTGGCCCACAGCCTCTAACTTGTTCTTCATCCAGTCCAGAGTAATAGGAGCCTCTGGTGGATACGATACCTTCACTTTCTTTGCTACCTCGGTCACATCATGCAGCTTTTCCGAACAACTCTCCAACTCGGCAGAGCTCTGTTGGCATCTGAAAAAGTCAAACAAAATGTTTAAATGCAGACAAGAAAGAACACGCAAGAGATAACGTGAAAAGCGGTACATACAGCTTCAGATGAAATGGCCATTTTCGTATTCTCGGTAATGGACTGGAACTAGCATGCAATGGAGGCTCCTGCGGGGAAATATCATTAAAAGGAAGTTTATGTCATTTGCATTTGAAAAGATTCCCCGCATTAGCCTCGAAATAATACGAAAATGGCCTATTGTCTCGCTGTAACCACTTGATGAGTAGCCCAAACCAAGACCGAGATCAGAGACAGCAAGACTCAATTTTACACAGGATCCATGTTGATAGCAGTTTCTATAACTGAAATGGTCATCCTGAATAAATATGTTTATTATTATTATTATCATTTAAGACTCAGAAGCAATGTTTGCAGAGGCTTTGGCAACGATGAAGATTTTCTTAGCGCCTGGATTGTGGCGCTGTTTAAGATAGCACTAATAGCTAGGAAAGCGTTTAGGACACTATTAACAATGTGCTCTGAATATAAGTTCTCATTTTCGGTACTCGAGCTGGTATAGCACCAATTTCTCAAATTGGATTTTCCATAATCTTAGAAATTTTCTTTCACACTTTAAAAATGACAAATTTTACTTTTCCCGTAGTTCTATAGCTTGACCATCGCACTGTCGAAGAAGCATTCACTGGAAAATGTTTCAAAAGTTCGCTCCAATTTTGCACTCAAAATACCTATTACTTAACACCTTAGTAAAGTTAATAGCAATTTTTTTAAACCCATTATTGTAAGGCAAAATATTTATTTTGAGAAGTTTCAAATTCCCGGTCTTTGTTGAAACCAGATGTCTTACAATTCAACTGGAAAATAAGCGTGGTTTAATAAAGTTTGTCTGACGCATATAACAAGCAAGATATCTGTAACAGCTTCTCGGCCGATACTTTTAAAATCAAAAGATGTTCTCTGTTTTTCTGGATTCTATCCGAGTTGAAATTGATTTTTAAAACTGACGCTTCAGCAAGTTTGACTTGCGCTTTTCAGAAATTGAGAAAAATAGAAAGTCAATATGGCAAACTGATGTTTTCTGCGCCGAACATCGGAAGGAATCTCGAAAAACAGAGAACAACTTTTGAAGTGGGATATCGTTGAAATACGGACTGTTTTTGCTTTGTTTGTCTCGTACAGGCGACTTCCGAGTGCAAATGCACTTGTGGTGATGAAAAATCACCTGCAAACCTACGTCAATAATGCTGACAGATGCTGAATTTCATTCTTCTGCAAATTGGAATATGATGCATCAGGTTCTAACCGTCAACTGAGTCAAAATGGCTTAGATATGTGGCTTACCGACCAAGTGTGAGGTCAAGACGGTTGGACATTGGCCAAGTCGAGGTCCATAAACTCGCAAAAAAGAACGAGGCCAGTATCCAGCCATCTTGACCAAACAAGCTTGGTGAATAAAGGATTTATTTAATTATATGGCTTTCAGGAAAATTTCTCTGGCAGGACACAGCGGGTGGTCCTGAGTGGGCAAGATAGAGCCATCTTGCCCGCTTGGGTAGCCAATCACAGGACAGAATATGGTTGATCTTGCCCGCTCACGGAGCTAGCCATAAAATAAAATGCAATATTAAACTTTTCCCAGCTCCATTTCAAGTCAGTCAAACAAATTCTACAGTTCGCAGGTGTTTGTAGTTAAGTACATGTATATATGCATTTTCAAGCGTTTCCAAAGACGTTAAATAAATTTAAATGTCAGGAAGACAAAACCGTACAATACCAGGTTTTCTTTTGTGCTCAGTCCTAAAAAAAGCATTTCAGCTAAATTAATTCAAGATTTCTTCATCTTAAAGTGCACCTAACCCCAAAAATTTTTTTTCGCTAGAACGAATCTACTTATTATTTGAAATAGTTCTGCGAAAAAAGTTTTGAATTCCGTTAAATCCTCGATTTTCTGTGCCACGACGAAATCTCGAAAATAGCTCCAAAACACCGCCATTTTGTTTCACGACCGAGTTTGAGGAGNTTTCTTCGCCCAAATGCTTCAAATAAAGTCTAGATTTGTTTTAGCGAAAAAAAAATTTGGGGGTTAGGTGCACTTTAACGGTCCATATTGCAAAACATCGCCGGAGCAAGTTCTCCTTGAACCAGTTCGACAAGTTACTGATCTGGTTTACAGCTACTGCCTGTCACCATTACAGACATATACGAAGGTAGTTAAACACGACACCGCAAAAGTCGTCTGCAGGAAATCGCCTCCAAGAAAACTAGAACGGATTGATATTAACTTCGTGTGCTCGATGAAGAAAAAAGAACCTGAGTGAATTTCTTGTTAGATGACAAGATGACAACGTGTTTTGTTCAAGATGATGAATACATATCACCTGCTCACAACAGTCAGTCCTTTATTGTGTACCGATGAAAACATTCTTTTAACAGTCTGCTAAGGCGCTTGCAGCAAAATGATCGACTTCCACTTCAGAATTCACCCTAAGGTTACGTAGACCGACTATTGTATGTCACTATTGGCGTACCAGAGGTTTAAATTAGAAAATTATATCAAATTATGAAAAAAAAATAATTTTAGGGAAGCAGTCAAGCATCTCTGTTACAAAAGTTATTGAATCAAAGAAAATTTCATGTCAGTCATTCATCTGGTCCCAGTTGTTCAGGGGATGGAGATATATTTCGCAATATTAAAATGATAGCGTGCCGAATGTGTCCCATCTTCCAGCGTTAAGTAACAGAAGATAAATTAACCAAAAAAAAAAAGGATCTCAGAAAAGAAAAGAGGAACCAAAAACAAAAATTGCAGTGAACACCTTGGTAGTGGTGCTTTATTCACAAAATCAAAAGGTTTGCATCTTTAGCCCATCTGATCTGTAGCGCACAAACTTTGAAAGTGCGAAAGGTTCTTGTTCACTCGTATACTCAAACAGTTACATTTTCCTTTGATAAATATAACAAAATGGGCCTACATTTTAGATTTGTTGTATGAACCACATCGCGCTTGATGGCATACTGGGTATATCTATCTATACTACTCGACAAGTGTAGCTATCACGCTGGTTAAAAGTGCCAAGCATTGTCTTAATGGTCATCTGGCCGCAGCCCCTCTATCTGTTATTTACTGAAGCTTTCCTTAGTTGGATTAGTTGTGACTTTGAAATATATTTCTCACAATGTCCCTGACAGCGCGTCGAATTTGTCTCATCTTCCAGCAATAAATAACGGGGTTTAATGATGAATTGAGAAGTAACAAGGTATATGAAGAAATGACAAAAACTTTCACCCCGGTACTTAAACCGAAGATTAAAAGGACAGTGAAACTACAAACCTGCGGAAGATAACAAAGCAGAAACACTAGATACACGTAAAATGTACCGACTGCAGATTTTCTCAGCCTAGCAGCACCTATTTGGTCATTCTGTGCTACCTGTAGTGCTTGAATTTGATGTTTGTGGTGCCGCACGGCAAAATAAATCTTGAAATAAAGCATAGCTGAGAGCAAGAGGCCAACTACTAGAGTAAAAGCAGACCCTATGTAAAAAATGTTCGGGGAGACCGAGAGGCGAAATACCGACATAAATGCACTGAACACCCATATCGATATTACCAAAGCAACAACACGCTTAGAAGTCACAAGTTCCTGGTATCTGAGATGGAGATGCACAGCCAAGAATCTGTCACCGCTTAGAGCCATGACTCCGAAAAATGACGCTGTAGCAAAAAAGTACGAGATAGCGAGAATAGCGGTGCATAAAGATGAATTGTCTCGCTGTAACAACCACTTCACGAGTAGCCCAAAGTATAACGGCTCCACAAGTAAACCAACACCAAGATCAGAGACAGCAAGACTCAGAAACAATGTTTTCGGATGCTTTGGCAACGATGAAGATTTCCTTAGAGCCTGGATTGTGACGCTGTTCAAGATGATGGCGGTAATAGCTAGGAACGCGTTGAAGACACTATTAACAATGTACCATGATTTTAAGTTTTCATTTTTCGTATTCGTCGGCTGGTATTGCAGCAATTCGTCACAAACACGATTTTCCATAATCTTGAATGTTTTCAATAGTTAAGGTGTTTTGCTAGAGTTAAATAACCCCGTGAGCTCCTGGATTATCTGATGCACGTTAACGATGCGTTGATAAAATGTTCTCGAACACTTCTGTAATATGACTGTAACTCTATCGAATAAGCATTCACTGAAAAGCCGTGTACTTAACACCTTATTAAAGTTCCTCATCACAGTCATAAAGCCATCACAGGACAAAATGTTTATTTTGGAAAGTTTCAAATTACATGTCTCTGTCAAAACCTGATGACGCACATTTCATGTGAAAAAATTAGCATAGTTTAATAAAAGATTTTGCCTGCCACATCTAAGCAGCAGGAAATCGTTGATATATTGGCTACTTTTGTTCTTTTCGTCAAATATAACCTGCAAACCTTTATCATAAATGTTCACGAACTCTTAGAAATTTTATTATTTTACAAACTGGAATACGGTCAGTCCCCAACTGTCTATTTAGTCCAAATGGTTTTGTTTAAGCAATAACTTCTCCTTCATTTAAAGGCAATTAAACAAATTCTAGAGTTCAGAGGTGTTTCTAGGTGAGCCTGGCGATATCGGCGTAGTGCGCAAGTGCCACAAATTTCTAAGAAAAACAAGTCATGTTTCAAAATGGCAGCCAGTTTATTATTCTTTTGTTTACATGGTAATTAGCCCTCTCTGCCTCGTCAACATGTATAGAACACAAAAGAATTTTGAAGTGAAAACGAGGCAAAGAGGGCTAATAAACATGCAAACAAAATAATAATAAATTGGCCGCCGTTTTGAAATAAGGAAGGGTGGTCAAAAAGATTTTGAGGAGTTTGTATGTTGCGTGACACAGCGTAAACAACAATCATCACTTAACAAATAATGTAAGCTTATTTAGGTGGAACATTTGAGATGTTTTGAGTGTAACGAGGTTTAACAAGGACCTGAATGTGTTACATACAAAGTACTTTATGGGTAAATAACCAAAGTCAACTTAATTTCTATCAATTGAGACAAAATCCACATTTTATCTACGTCTCCTCGCCTTTAGGAATTATCCAATCAAATTGAGGGCCATTCTGATTTTTTCAATAACTCTCTAATTTCTCGCGCGCTGATTGGCTTATTTTTATAAGGGTACAAACGGACAAAATTTTAATTTGGGAGCACTTATTCATCTCCAAACGCGTAAGATGAGTTCATCGTGTTAATAGTGTCTTTGGCAGCAATTTTGTTCACAATAGTCGCGCAAATGTCTCCCTTCTCGCGGAATACACTGGCCAGCGGAATTGGCACAAAAAGGTTTACGACTCATAGACTGAACGAGCGAGTGATTTTTTCCCAACTAACTGCTATAACTCCCTCTAACAACGCTATCACGTGTTAAAAATATCACGCGTTAATAAACGGTTCGTACAATTATTTTTCAATGCACAACTAAAGACTTTTTCCATACTTTTTCCAGACCACTAGTTTCTTTTCCCAGACTCAAGAAACAAGTACATTCCTTACAATGGAACCGTGATGAAATGCAAACGTACGGGATTGTAATATAGCCTAAAATGGAAAATAGAAGATACCTCTTGACCAAGGCAGTCATGACGTTGTCTATTCCCACAGCATCAGCTGTGTGTGTTCGCAGCGCCTCACAGTGAAGGATGGCATTTGACAAGTTACAGATATCTGAAGAATGTTTGCTCTCCACCTGCACAAAACAAAGTTATTTCATCACTATCAGAACGTGAAAAGACCAAGAGTGCAACGCATTACTATTATTTCTCTCGTCACGCAACGCTCTTCTAGAGGGTGAAATGCTACGTGACAACCCAAATGGCTGCAAAGGAGATTACAGACCGGCAAGACAGAGGCTATTTAGTGTAAAATTCAACTTGGTGTAGTTTTGGAGAGTTAGGGTCTTGAAAATGAGAGGAACCAATCTTCACCACAATGAGACAACTAGCTAGCAAAACCATTCTTCATTATGAGGGACTGGATGGCGGCTCTGGAAACTCGGCTACGGCAATTTCTTGGCTATCTGATACAATGTTAGCCCCCCCCCCCGGGGAGGGCAGGGGGGAGTATTCTCAGAGATAAACTATATGGGTATGTGCCGCTTAGAAGGTTATGGGTTTCCGGCAGTTTAGTCGGGATGGGGAAGGGGTTTTTGGTGCCTAGTCTAGAATAGGGTTACAAAATCAAGCTGATCATAGTCTAGTATAGGCTAAAGATTTTAGTGTCCTAGCGGCACACCCCTACTAAATGATTTACAGAGTACCCCCTCTTTACCCGGAATGTCAGTCAGTCTCTCAGTTATAAGTAAATTTCAAATCTCAGACCACAGATATCAGTTGAAAAACGTGTCAACACTCAGGTTTGCAAATTCTCGCTGTCAGTTAAACCCCAGGCAGACCCACTTATTTCAGTTCGAGGACACGAGGACAGAAAGATCTCTATTAGGTACGTCCGCAGGAATGGAATCCATGAAATCTTAATTACGATGAAGCATGATTTTGAACTGACCATCATTAACTTCTTCCTAGCAGCTAAGGTCTTCTCGAAATTCTGCAGCACTGGGTTCAGGGCGGGGTTTGCTCCTGCTGCCCACTTGAGACGTTGTTCGATGCTTGCCTCTTGTGTACTAAACTTCTCCTCCACTCCTTTTACGACTGAATCCATGTGTATCAGCCCTTGAACACGCTAAAACAAAGTAACAACATAAATGAAACCGCACCTTCTCTACTCTTTACCGGGTTTTAGTAGCCGACGATGATTTTAAGCACTCTTGAACGATTTAAGCAATAGAGCACTTTTTCCGTGTTTAAACAGCCTCATCTAAACACGAGGAGGGTTGGAAGAATTCGAGACAGTTGTGCAAACCCGAGACGTAGTCGAGGGTTTGCATAAGAGTTCTCCCAGCCCCCCGAGTGTTTAGATGAAGCTATGTAAACGCGGAAAAAGTGCTCTATTGCTTTTATAAAAAAATTCTCAAAAATACGCCCGAATCTAAAACGTCACAACAGTGTTTACATATACTCATCTAAACACAGCTATCGACCAATGAGAGCGTGCATAGTAGCTCAGGTATTCTGTAAACTAAACTCAGCAAAGCCTCGCGGACTACTCGCTTACAGAAGATTAAGCCTGTGATCAGGCGAAATTATGATCGATCCAAAATGTGTATGTTGGCTTGGGTCAAACATTGCCGTTGCTTTAGATAGCTGGATGATAAACAAAAGGAACATTTAAGAGTTTTTAAGATCAAGAGACATGAGGTAGGTTGACGAGGTTACAATCTGAAAATGCATTTCACGTACTTGAATAAATCAATAAAAAAGTATGTCGTACCTTTTTCAGGTCTGCCATGACAGTGGCCCTTGCTGGTGTTATCATGTTGTTTCCTCTCATGGGACACCTCAGCAAGTTATCCTCATACAGCCACTAAAAAGAAATTTAAAAAAAAAATACTTATCAAGGCTTATCAGATTAACTTAGCACTCCACAAGGACATCATCAAAGCGAAAGCAAGAGTCAGAGCGTATACAATTATCCTTTGACGAGGAAATTGCATTAGTTTTGAGGGCCTCAGCGTAACATCATTTAAGCTGTTGGGGATCCACTCTAAGTGATACTGAGCTAGGTCAGTCAAAATCGTAATGAAGATTGGCACTCAGCTGATAACCGAGGCCAAGGTACGAGGCCGCATATTGTGTGAAGGTTTAACCGTTTTTCAAAAATAACATTTGTTTCTTTACCTGAAACCTTGCAAGCTGAAGTTGAGCTCGTTGTACCACTCCCTTGTAAATGCTCATATTGTTATCGAGACGTCTAGAAACAGACAGTAAGGTAACAATTTTTTACATTTCAAATAAACTATAGTTTTCAACAAGATACATAATTCACTAAGGTGCAGTGTTGAGCTAGGTTCCTAGCCCGTCTGGTCAGCAGCGCGACAGAAGCAGAACACCGTGATTTCCTCGGGTCCGCGTTTGGTTTTTGCAAGTCTATGACTACTGATTGCATCAAACTTTAAAATTTTTGAAGGTGAAATCTTTGCAGATGTTCTTTACTCGATTACCACAGGCAAGCGTAAGGGACAGACAATTTAAGAACTTTCTATAGAGTACCCTGCGAACATTGCGGTCACTTCTGGCCACTTTGAGAACAAACTGCTCTATTCGCAGGTCATTTATAGAGCTAATGGAATAAACAGAGCAACTGTTTTACATACTTGGCAAAATCGTGCTTCCTCCACGCCACATCGTAAGAACTTGTTAAGCTGGTGATCTGTGACAGATGTTTCGACTTCATAATTCCACTTGAGATGTTGCTATCGACAACCTTACAAAAGGAGAAATAGAGGAAAAAGACAAAACAGCTTGAAAGAAGCACAGTTGAAACTCCAAGAAAAAAAAAAAACTAAACACTTCCTTACGTCCACTGTGCCATTATGCGATAAAATAGTCCCGTCTCTCCGGGTGAGTATGACCACTGCTTGCAAAGTAGATCATTTCATGCTGAAGTTATGCCTCTCCAATATGTATATCCTAGCCCGGGTGTTTGAAAGGTGGATAATGTTATCCACCCCGGGCTGTTTGAAAGGTGGATAATGTTATCCACCGGATAAATCACAATCTAGCGGATAGCGTGGTTTGTTTTGTTTTTAACACTTATCCACTGGATAGCGATTTATCCGGCAAATTATCTAGATTCCCGTAAGCGGACAACCTGGTGTCTAATTATATGTTGGGCTCCATTACAGCTGACAAACGGAGCTAAAAATGCTGCGGCACCTGATCGCTGTCACCCCAAAGACGACTCTTGTTAATTAGTCTGATTTACAAGTGTCTACATTCATCATACAGAATTTAGGGGGGGAAAAAACATATCAATGCATACCTTCTTGCAAAATTCCTCCAAAGAGACCACGTCTTCCTCGTTGGCGGATTCTTTATCCCCCTTATTTCTCAAAATGGTTGCAAACGCGATAACCACCGCAGCCAGGGCTTGTGATGGCAGGCCCATAATGCACTGTTGAACGCAATCAGCAATGAAATGTTTGACATGAACAGCCAGGTCATCTTCACTGTAACATGTGTCGGGATTCCAAGTCTTCGTCTCCGCATGCACATTGTCTGAGTTGGTAAACAGGTTGTTTGAAGGTTCTGCCACACAGTTTACAGAACCTGGCTTAGCTGCTGAGCTGGACACGCCTGAAAAAAAAAATATATATAAGCATGAATACGTATATTTGACCGCAAAAATTACACTGGTTATATGACCAGAATTTAGGTGAAATCTACCAAGAAGTTCTGATTTTTCGAACATTAAAATCAAGAGGGTGTGGATTAGAGCAATTTATTATGGCTTTTGTTGGCATGATTTTCAGTTCAACCCAGCACACAATCCATATGCACAACAGAAACAATAATATACAAAACTTGCAAAAAAAAAAGAACGAGACCAATATCCTCCAATACGGACCGTACATGTTACTTCAATAAAGTATTTATTATAATGGGTCTTTTTAATCTGTCGATAAATTGATGGGTCTCCGCAATCCTTTCTCGGTAAACGCGCGCGCGCGCGCGAAAGCTAAGCATTTATTCACGTTTCTCACGTCGCTTTTGTCAACATTTAACTGAAATTGTCCTCCAAACATAAAGTCAAATGATTTCTACTTAAGAATAAACTGTTTATTTTGTGTGGTGAATTAAAAACGCAATTTGCCGAAGTCAGTTCGTACTGAAAAATTCGGACCGCTAAGGGAACCAATCAGAATTCTCGTTTTCACCTCGGACCGATTCAGCCATATAATAAATGAACGTATTCAGTACCTTTAAGTGAGAGCGTAACCAGCCTACAACTCTTGAAGAATGAGATGATAACTTCCAACCTCTTGAGAAAGAACACCTTGCCAAGAAGGTCAGCATTTTTAGCACCGTTTGTCACCTGTCAAAGTAAAAAGTCAAAAGTAACTAATTTGGATAAATTGCGCAAGGTTCCACGGGTTTATAAACCGTAAAACAAGATAAGAGTCAGTGACAGATGAAGAGGCATCTTTACCTGAAGTTCCTGTGCATCTCGTACAATGTCAAACTTCAAATTGTGCTCGTCAAAGTGAACTCGTTCAAAGGCTGTGAACATGTCTGTCAATTCACTGGCCACTTTGGTGAAGAGTCCATTGAACCCTGCTAGCAACATCTGACCGGATGTCATAGAATTACTGCTGTCTTCACCTAATGACAGGCAATGAGATTAGAATACCGTGAAATGTACGTGCACTAGCTTATAATGGTCATTAGAGCAGTTTTCAATCGAGTGTCGAAAGTAATCAGGCAATTACTTTGGTTTAGATTCTGGTTTTGACACAGTTTGAGATTTTTGTGGTGGCGCGGTGGCCTCATGGTTAGTGCGCTTAACTCCAGATCGGGCGTTCTAGGTTCGAGCACTGGCCGGGAACACTGCCGTATTCCTAGGCCTCTCTCCACCCAGGTGTATAAATGGGAACCGGCGAAATTAATGCTGGGGGTAACCCTACGATGGACTAGCATCCCATCCAGGGGGGAGTAAAAATACTCCTAGTTACTTCATGCTACAGAAACCGGGATAAGCTCCGGCCTGATGGGCCACTTGGCTTGTATGCAGACTTTACTTTTTTTTTGCCGTTTTGGATTAGCTGAGTAGTCTAATTGGTACGTCATTGGTTTCGTTTTGGTTTTACGACGCTCAATTGAAAATTTTAGGTCGTGTTACTGCGTTGTGTTGTTGGTAAGGAGTAAACACACTTTACTCTTTCAGAGAGCCTCTTTCCACCCAGGACCATAAACAAGCTGGGCAACCGTGAGATGGACAAAAGTGCTGGGTGAAAATCTGCAATAGCGCCCCAATACTGAGAAGTCCCGCCCGAGGGGAATAGCAATACTCCATATGACTTCATGCTTCAGATGGAGTACCAACAATCTAATTCTTTAGGGAGTGGCAGTGGAACAAATCAACAAATCTCACAAGTAAGTTTCATTTCACAAATTCACAGTTCATTTCATGATTTACTGTGTAACTTTACCTGAATCAGAGCCAGGGATCTTATTCGTTTGAAGAATCTTCTCAAACTGAGTGTGCATCTCCTGGATTGCTGTATCGACTTCCTCCGCGCTATGCGTCTATGGTAAAAGAAATATAAAATAACTGAGATACTACGCGCACTCTCATTGGTCGATAAGTCTGTTAAGATGAGAGTATGTAAACACGGTTGTGACGTTTTTGATTCGCGAGTATTCTGGAGGAATATCTTAGCAAAAAGCAAATGAGCGCTGTTTCCTTGATTACATAGCCTCATCTAAACAATTTGGGGGGCTGGGAGAATTCTCGAATTCTCCGAACCCCCCTTGTGTTTAGATGAGCTATGTAATCAAGGAAACAGTGCCCTGTTGCTTAAATGTAGCGCATCTGGCTGGCACGCGTTTTTAATACTGTGGTAAAGCGGGAGAGGTCAAGCTTTTTCCCGGTTCTGTGGTTAGTGAAGGGGTGGGGGGTAGCGTTTCATTAAAATATATGGGCGATCCTAAAGAGTACTGTACCAATGAAAAAAATTAAGTGGCAGAGAAAGGCAAATGGTTATAACACAAGGGCTTTTAATTTTCTAGCTTCAAAACCAAACACAGACGTTTTAAGATGACATCCCATGGGGAAATCTGGCCAACGGTCTACAACTTCGGCACTAGCAGCAGTTTTTGGAATACACTGCAGGAATCATTCTGTGGAGTCTAATGTTATTCACTGACCTGTGCTGCTAAGTGTCCTTCCAAGAGCCGAGCTTCTATGTTCTCAGCGAGTTCTATCAGACTGAGCTTTTGTGAACAAGCCACAGCTTGAACTTGCTGGACGACAGCAAACACAGTTGGGTCTTCAGCATAGATGCTCTTCACTGCCTCTGGGACAATGATTGTCCTGAAGTTTGTCATCAGTTCCTGAAAATCAAATCACAACACTTGTCACGTAGACTCAATTATATGTTGTTGTAACTCTTACAACTGTTCCATATGTTGCAAGTGACTTCAGAGTTGGCAGCCTAATTGCCTTGCCGTAGGTATTTTCAAGGTATCCTTTACATAAACCTTATTGGCTTCCCTGGGGCCCGTTTCTCGAAGGACCCAGACACTTTTCTGGCCCGCAAAGCCACTTTTAGTTAATCAGTATTTCAAGACAGAGAGGTGTATACGCCTGAGACTTCTTGTATGAAGGGAACCTCTGTTCATATTAAGAATATGCGCATAAAACAGCTCTGTAGTCATAAGGTTTGAGATTTTGCTAGGGCTTTTCCGGTACGAACAAACCTGTAATATAAAGGGGATGATATACAGGCAAGATCGTGGATGATCAGGTAGCTGAGTGTGGTGGCGAAGGGAAAGTAGGCCGGATGGACTGGAAGAATCACCGAAAGAGTTGTGGCCAGATATCAGACAAGTAAATACGGAAAACCTGAGACTCAGACAACTTCTTCTTCAAAAATATATCATGGTGTCAATAAAGATGACGATGATGGTAACAATAATGATAAAGAAAAGTGATTTTATTCATGACACATAATGTAATCAAACAACAGGTACTTATGTTATTTGTACCTGCAAAGCCATGAACACCTTCTGTACTGCTAAAACAGCTTTCATGGAATTCTGAGCCTGGCCTAACAGAGCTTGCTGATCCTCTTTGACCTCCTGTGGCAACAAACGAAATGTGTGACCTTTCAAACACTGATGTCGAGCAGTAGTTTGTGTTAAATTGATTTTGAGAGATTTTGCTGCACAACGAAAACAAGTTATAAAGTTAGTTTTCGTTTTAGAACTTCCTCCCTTACCATTGGATGGTCCTTCAGCAGTAACAGTAGTTGATTCACATTACCACTCATGGAGCAGAGTTCATCAAGAAACCAGTCGCCTTCTCTCGACGTCAACTCAGATAGTCTGTCCTTGGCAACTATTAACAGTCATAACCAAACCATAGTACAGCATAAGCATGCAGTTGTCATAAATGCTTTGTACAAGGCCCTACCACTAAGTCTTACATATTGAAGTTGAGAAGCTCCAAGCCATACCAAGGAAGGAAAATGCAACAATAATGGTTTGACTTTGCATAACACTTCTCAATAAGTGATTGGAACCTATTATGAAGAGAGAACAGCTAATGTGCAAGAGGGATGAAAAAGGATTAAAACAACCATGACTTTTGAATTTTCAGTCTTGGCTCTAATTCCAACGAAATTTTTACAATAGTTGTAACCAAAAGGTATTCGGTATCACTTTAATGCAGTTCACACATTTCCATTCTGTAAAACGAGAGAAACATTTCATGCAGCTGTTACTAAGAGCAAATATCTAGTGATAATATAAATGCGCCTTTTAAACCTTCCTTACCTTTAGCTGTGTTCTCCATTGCTAAACACCTCTTATTCAGGGAGCATAATGCCGTGATCAGTACACTAGTAAGACAACGAAACGATGTAGGCTGTTTTCCTGCAAAAGGAACGTGGTAAAAGGCTCTCATAATTTGTAAAACTAAACAATCATTAATAAATCAGTCAAGTGGTACATTGTCTTAGGCGCCATCCACACTACACCAGAGAAACTTGAGAAGGACGTTTTCACTCAGAAAACGCATCGAATGTTCTCCCTCCACACTACACCGGAGAACTATGAAAACGCACCTTCGGTTAGGCCTACCGTCCACACTAAACTGTCACGGACACGAAGCTTTTCGAAACCGCTCTTCAAACCGAAGAAATGTAAAAACGCCAACTTTGCGCTTTAGTGTGGACGAAAAACATTTTGAAAACAGAGCTTTTCGAAAACGATGACGTCACGACAGTCATATGATTGATGCGTTTTGAAATTTTCTTCGGCGTAGCGTGGCCAGAATGTATTTTGATGCGTTTTCAGAGTGGAACGCCATTTTCAATTTTATTCAGCGTAGTGTGGACGGTGCCTAATTTGTATTCATCCTAATCTTTCTGCTAAGTCATTTTACCTGTAATGTATTTCTTCAGTGCTCCATAAGTTTCCCCAACAGCCTTGCGAAGGAATGCTGTCTCGACACTCTCTTGTTTCCTGCGCTCAGAAAACTAAACAAAATACAGGTGGTACTTTGATACAACTTGGTATGCAGTTAATAAAAAACAGAGAAAAAAATACTTAATGGCAACAGAAAGAGATATAAATTTTGATGACTGACTTGACTTAATGCAAGATTTTACATCGTCAGACGTCATAGTAATTTTGATCACTTCCAAAAACCGTTAAGGCCTGAACGGTCCTAGCTATTGGGAGCCTGTACACTAGTTCGGTTTCTACTTTCGTGGACTTGTTTTAATGTTCACTTGAACTGGGACAATTTGCACATTAGCTTAAATCACTTCTTTACCCACATGACCTGCCATCTCGATTTTGTACACAACATCAATGACACAAGTACGGGATTATAATGTTTAACAAGACAAGCCAAAGACATAGAAGTCGATACCATTTGATTGCATGCATTCCAAATGATTTATATCATGACATTCCAAGTACCAACTATGTAACCTATCAAGTACAAAATGATCCAGAACTACCTCTGTTTTAAACTTAACATATTTAAGTAGTAGGCAGTGGGGATGACTATCTTGCAGCATAAGGCAAAATAGTTAATGGTCTAACCAGTAGTTGTCGGGAATGTCCCGTGTTTCCTCTCTCTTTGCCTAATGATTTTTAACGCGGATCAAAAGAACAAACATACCTTAATGAACTTGGCATTCTGTTCGGTCAAACTGCTCTGTAATTTGACCTCCATGGCCATGAACCCTGTCACTTCTGCTAGGGTCAAAGGACTGTCAGCCACTGGTTTGTTATGTAGCTTCTCACTCTCCTCTAGTACATCTTGACACCTGACAGGAAACTCACGAGAATGAACGTTTGATTTCCGTACAGAGGTTGGGTATTTAAAGGTAAACGACGGACCATGGATCTCTAATGACGGTGCAAACTTTGCCTTACAGCCACTCCGTTATTAAGGCCACTTTTCTCTGGCCCGAACAAAAGCTCTGTCAGTCATTTTCTTATTTAAGAGCCCCTATAATACGGCCATCAGGTTAATACGGCCACACTTTTGTGGCCCGCTGCTGACCGGATTAACGGGGTTCCACAGTCTCCCACTGTATTTAATACTCCACTTTACAGAAAAACATATCAGCCATAAATATATCAAGCAAAATAACAATATGAGCAAAGAATGCGCTTCAATTAATGGAGCGTTGTTTACAATAACCATTGTCAATGACATTCAAAGCTGTGCTCCAAGGTCACACATGGACCGTATAACGGCTGCCAGAGGCGCCAATGTATGCTTTCGGTTCGACCTTGTTGAGCTGCGTCGTTGCTGTACTTTGCGACGGCGATTAGCCGCGACAATTATTTATTCAAAGGTTGGTCAACAGTATGGCTGCATAAACAAAATCCTATACAGTACAAGCTGAAGTTTATGTACTAAAGGTAAAATAGGAGATAATTAACGTAAAATAGAACGTACTTCTTCGTTGAGGAATCGTCTACCAAGGACTGAAGCCAACTCTGCCATTCAAAACTTCTGTTTTGTTGTACATAATCTGAAGGAAACTACAAGACGCAATGACAGCATGCATGACTCTCAGGGAAAATACAGAAGCAAAAAAACTTGAAAAGCTTCGACTGTCAGATACAGTTTAAAAATCCAATACAAGAACCCAGAACGTGGAGCGCTTTGTCTGGCGTCCTACACAATAAATATCAGCGTACCAAAGTTTTCTTTTTACTGAGAGATGAAAACTTACAAGCGATGTCACAGTGGCATAGGTGTGAAGCAAGTCTAGGCAGGAGCGGAACATGGTACGTCTCTGATGAAGCAAGCCTGAGAGTTCTGTTTCAAGCTGTTCACACTGTTCAAGAATATAAAAATCACCAATCTCAGTTATGTATAAACTACGACTAACTATGACTAACTACCAAGTGTCGTGTTTTGTTTGGAACAGCTGTCGTGTCTTTGTGCGTGTCATCACTCGAACAGAATCCGACTAATGTAACAAGTTTCGCGCGCACAAGACAATTTTTTTGAACAATGTTTTTTAACTTTAATTTTATGTTTTTTGTTAGATAGTACGTTCGTTAGCTCACGAAGATCGCGAGGAAAGATCGTAAGTTAAGTGAATTTTGAAACGGAACGTAGAGAGGTGGTGCGTGGAAACGCGGCATACTAAGGCTTAGGACACGTCGCTGTGAAACTCTGAATCGAAATGACGGGAATTAAAACATGCAGTATTTCACCAGCTGAAAGCAGAGAAGCCGTATTAGGATGAGAAAAACAAACAAACAAAAGCGTTACGCATCAAACTCTCTAACACAACTTTTACCTGGTTTACAATGTGTCCTTGTCCTGCGCCCTTTAAGAAACTGATGGCTGGAGCAAAGCTTGGAAGACCTGTGAACAACACAGTAGTAACCATTACTATCGGACATACACCGTTTACCATAACTTCTCTCGGTCCCTTCAAGAAGAACAACCTATCTTAGAAAGTCTTGAGACAGAGTAGCAGGCATGCGCAGCATGTACTAAGGGATCTACGTCTACTTTAAAGGAATAGTTGTTCATTACCTAGGTCAAGGGGTTGAAGAAGTTCACCAACAAGAGACCCCAGCTTTGGTCCATGAACGGTCTCCATTGCAGCCTAGGACATAACAATTTACAAAGAATTCATTAGTTAACACACATATATATTTTTCATTAGATACGCTATGTCTCGATTTGTTTTAGGTTCTTTGGTTTGACCCATGGAAACCATACATGACAGATCAGAAGCTGCAAAGATGTGTGACTGAAAACAGGTAACAAAAAGTTGAAAATGTATTTCTATTAAAGCGGAGAGACACTAGCTTGCAAGAGGTGTGTACAAAAGGATGGCTTCATTCCATATGTGTTTGAAAGGTTCTGGTTCACAAGTCCAGCCCAAGATGATCATGGTGATGACGATGATGACTATAAAAAATTATTGCGGGGAAGATGATAAAATTTAAAAAGGGCAGCCTTTCTCACCTTGTGCTGAACCTGCCATTGCTGACATTCGAGAAGTTTTTCTGCGATGGATTGTAACACTGAATCATGATCAGCTAGCAGTTTCTTCTTTTCATCAAATCTTAAAGTGGGAAGAAGAGATGATAGCAATAATTATTAGTATGTACGCTTACTCTATGCTTCATTCTTTGCAAACGTGAAAAAACAGCAGGAAATCTGTCTAGCTAGAATGTTGTTAATAAAGGAACTACGTAACCGTTTAATCATCTTGAAAAGTTTAACATCAATATTTCAAGTTTGACGTTTGTAATCCGCGTTAATCTTCTCCATCCTTAATCATCCTTGTTCCTTTATGAGTAATTATTATCTCTCTAGAGTTTTTCTATCTTAGTAAACTACTATTCTCAGGTTTTCCTTCAATGTAAAGATAACTTTGTACGTGGCAAAATAACTCAAAATACCGTGACTGAGCTCCCTTAAAGACATGACTTGTCGAGTTGACTTACTTGGCTTGTACAGTGTGCAGAGGATGTTGAGTGTTACTGATGGCTGCCTGGAGAGTCTCCTGCTGATCTTTAAGTTCATCAGTTGACAAGTCCAAAGATTTTAATTGTTTCAGAGACACCAAGTATGTGTCCAACTGTTCATCTAACTTGGTCATGCCAGATAACAACTCGTCCCTGATAAACACAACGGGTGTTCTTGAGAAATCAATGGATTATTGCATTCAAACCTTCCTGAGTAGCTAGATCATATGTACTTCTTGACATTATACTTAACAATGTTGACACACAAGAGAGTCACCATATTTCGAGAGGAAGCCACATCAACGCTAGTTGGTTTTCCAGTGAATGTTCTATCAAGGTGGCTTACGTTTTCCCTTGGTTTTACGCAGAAAAGTGAAGGAAGGAAACAGCAGACGTCTGTACGAATGCTACTATTCAGGTTGAATAGGAAACCAGAGTACTTGGAGAAAAATCCTCAGAGCAAGGCGTGAACCAACAACTGATTCAACCTACATTTGGCAGCAGACAGGAATCGAACCTGGTCAACAATGGTAGCTGTGGGAGTGAGCCCTCTCACCACTACGCCAACCCTTCTACCCATTAAGTGGTTCAGTCCTACCTGTTGTTTGTCCAAGTAACTTTCATCTCTGCCACACGTGAAGAAAACAAGCTCTGAGTGACGTCCCTTTCCATCTCCTTCTTGTTCACTTTGTTGTCTGTAACACCAGGAGCTCCTCCTCCATAAAAGGCACTGGCAAAAGCAGTGTCGTTTGCAGTGGTCCAGTCAACCAGAGGGTCATACACAAAAGCTTCCAGGAGAGTGAGCAGCGTCTCACGACCTTGTTTCAGAATCTTCAGCACTTCTTCACACGACAGACGGAAAACTCCCTGAAAAGGAAGCCACACTATTATACAAGGCACAACAACACCATCGTCAGTGAAAAGTATAAATCTTTTCTGACGCAGCTGGCAAAGCTGTGCTAATAATCTCTGCATACATAAGAGTGCACCATAATCCGATGATACATGCTCATGACGTCGGCAAAGTAAACTTCGCTTCGCTAAAGTCCAAAGTAGATTCCGCTGTACATTCATTTCTTCTTTTATTTCTCTCGTGCTCTCTTAACTTCCCACGTGCATCGTAACTGGATGACGTACACTAAAGCATGAATCAATTGTTGAATATTTGCATCAGAACATGCGAGCATGAACAGTAGATGTGGGGCCCAAGTTTTGTAAACTTAGAGACAAAATGGCATCAATCGATTCACAGAGCTTCAAGTCTTGGGAAACACAGCACAACAAAACAGATTTTCAGATGAAATCCTGGTCAGAAAAGTCAAAACTTTCCGTATGCTACAAGCATACTTAACCGATAGTAAAATAGAAAAATGTGTTTTCCATTTCTATTTCCTAGTGTGTAAAGAATACCTCCACTCCTGTCACTCCCAGGGCTGTCTCCAGGTTAGGTGTCATCCTAAATGGAACCTTCTCAGGGACTCTCAGTCCTTTACCCTTCTCGAAGCACACATTGTAGTCAATATGGACTACCTGACAGAGTGAATAAAATCAAGTTGCTTAAGAACGTATCACTCATAACAACACAAAAAGACATGTTTTTGAAAATGGCTGATGTAGGAACAATGACACCTAACAAATGACTGAGATAAACGAGCTATCTACTTCCATGCTCGTAGAAATTTGACTGTATTCTCATCGCATGAAGTCTCTTTTTTCTCCTTCAAAGATAGGATCAACCATTCCCAAATGTCAAAAGTTGTTTATAAGGCTAGTTGTTGGGACTGCCTGGATTTCTACATGGGAAAACCAAAACGTAGATTGCATGAACGGTTTGTTTCATGCATTATTCAAAGTTCAACAAAGTTTAGTCACTGCAATAACCGATAAAATGGTCGTTTCCACAAGGGTATTTTCCTTGAATCCGAGGTTGTTTGTTATATTATCGTTCATCATTCTACAGTTGTACTACAATTCTTACCTCCCCTGTTGTGAAATCTACCAGCATGTTATCCAGATGTCTGTCTCCCAGGCCAATAATGTAACCTATCATAGACATGACTGCAGTGGATCGAGCATAACTCTGAGTCATCTGCCACCACTCTGCTGCACTAGTGCTAGAACACCACAGCTCTCTGAAAACATAATCACAATAATTAATAAGCATGGTTGCCACAGACAGCAGTTTTCAAAATTTACTGACTTTTCCCTGATTAAAAATTCAAAGAATACAATTCCCCATACCAAATAACTACAAAATGTCAGATATTGTAACGGCATCTAGCCTCCCTTTACAGCAGTCTTTTCCACCTATCTATTCAAGACTGAAACGTTTTTCACCAATTTGCCTTCATTGTCAAGGAAAAACATCGTTGATTTCACAGTGACCTGAAATGTTTCTTCCAGCCGTCAATGGTATTGAAGCAACGGTGTCATAATTTCAATTTTCCCTGACTCAAAATAAAATTGCCTAACTTTTCCCTGACTTTGAAGACTTCATTACTGTATTAAATTTCTAATTCGATTTTTTGTACTACTAATTCTTAATTTGTAGAGATTCCAAGTCACAGGTCACAAAACTAAATATTTAGTCGAAATTTGACAACAAAGCTGTTTCTGTTTGGTAGATTCATTTCTAATGCTCTTGAAGGTTGTCAGACCACTCAAATTATACCTTGGAACAGAACCATTCTAGTAAACGAGGCAGTTCTATTACAACAACAGCGAGTGAGAATGATGACTAGTCGTATTACTAGTAGTAATCGTAGATTAAAGAGTGCGTTCGAGTATTGGGAGGTTTGGTATGTTAAAATAGCAATGCGTGATAGGTTTTGCATTGTACCGTAAAGCCATTACGTTTTATTTTTGTTCAAACCTGGACCGTGTCAAAAGTGGTACATATTTCGTGAAGACATTGATAAATCTTAGCTGCAAGGTTTTTTCATGGCACTAACTCTAACTTCAACCGGTAACGGTAAACCTAACCGGTAACAATAAGCTGCCTTAACACTCGAAAGAAAGAACATGGACGAACATGAAAATAACATTATTCACCCCTGACGAATTTTTTTTGGNGGGGGGGGGGAGGAATTTGGTGTCCATAGATAAAAATGCGATAAAACTTGACGAAGAGGGGACTTACTTGGCCAACAGGTCACTAGGAGTTTCTTTCATGAGTTCCTCTAGGACATGCTTCATCACACTAAGAGGCCAATCTTTTCTGTTAGACAGGTCTGTGATACCCTGTTAATGCAAAAAAAGGTAATTTCAAACACTAGTTTTAAGACACTCTATTGAAAATCACTCCATCACATATACTAGATGGTCTAAATAGCACTGATAATCGCCAAAAGCAAGAGATTAGGAATCTAAATTACAATCTTACTTTTCAAAGATAATATTACGAATATATAATTAATCAATCAAGCAAGCAAGCAATCAACACTTTATTTAAACACATTGCGCCTGAGAGCTAAGTACGCTTGATCAAAATGGGAACGCGTATGCAAAATGCAAAAATAATGAAATGCATTACATTGTCACAAAACAATACAGTTAAATATCTATAGTACACACAATACATGTAATACTACAACCAAACAAACAGTAAAAAACCAGGAAACATTTCAATTTAGTTAAAGACTTTAGCTGAGCACTAGGAATTAATGAGGGACGCTTTTTTACCTTCTCTTTAAGGGCAGGAGTAATTTTGCTGTAGTAAAGTTCACTTGGTTTCATGGGTGGAGGTGGTGGTTGATTTGCACCCTGAAATAGTAACAGAGCACCATTAAAATTTTAATTTTTTTTAAAGACAAGACTCTAGAAGTGATCGTAATTTTTTTCTGTCGTTATGTTAAAATAATTTTGCGGCCAAATCAATTTTAAACAAAGTAAGAGAATTTATTCTTATTTTTAATGTTTGGATTAATGGAGTTGTAATCACTAACTTTCATTTCAATAAATACTTGACTGTATGGTTTCATTAATTCATGTTTTCACATTGAGGATACCTGTGCAGACTTCACCAGTGAGATGGCCATGGCTTCTCTTTGCTGCCAGCGTTTGAACAAGGCAAACACAGGAACAGCCCCATCCACCCACTGTATAAGACCTGACCGGGGGCCAAGAGGCGTGACAGAGTAATGGCGAGCACAAAATTGGGGAGAATTGTGGCTGCAGAGTGGCATAAGAGAGAGAAAATAAGTACTGATAAAGAAATTGACATCCTTTCCAATAAGTTCTCTAACTGAACTACATTGTGTGAAGAGTGCATAACAAAAACAAACATCCTCTACATGTAAGTTCACTACCACAACACCGACATTATTTCAAGTGAAACATGGCTGAGAGGTAGGGATTCCAAGGCAGTCACACAACAATAAATTAGAGCTATTAGCAGTTAATAGCAAACGTTAGGCAGGCAGCCACGACAATGCTGACAACAACGTTGATTAAAAAAAAAAACAAAGCAGAATTGGCTCAGTCACGTTCTGTTTGCAAAAGACAGATAACGCACATGTAAAGTTATTCTGCTGTTCATTATACCTCTCGTTTGGAACTATTCTTGTTGCCGTTGCCATTGTGGTTCAAGTAAGGTCCTTATTAATTTATTATGAATATCAATGGTCACTGTACTCGGCTACGCCTATCATTACCTGTCAACTCTGGCAAACATATTGTTACAGATGGAGAGGAACTGCATGATTCTTTCATCAAGATGAAGATCTTCAAGTCCTTTAAATAAGTATGTGTACCTGAACAAAGGGAGAAAACCAACAGAAATGTTGCTCACCACAGTATCACTGCAGAATATAGCTATTACAGAAGTGAGCAAACACTGCCCAGAACTGAGACGAGTAGGTCTGGACACATACAAATTTAGTATGACTGCACACAAGGTCAAATGTTGGGTAAGTGGTACCTCATTACCATATTTTAAAATGTTTTGTTCAACATCTAGTCCGACTCAAATTCAACATCGCTTACACTACGCCGGAGGAATTTGAAAACGGAGGTGTCACTCTGAAAACGCATCAAATGTTTTCTGTCCATTATACTTCGACAAACGAATTAAAAAACGCAACAATCAACGGTCATTTTGGATTTGAGATTGAGAAAAACTCAGTTAACATGTTGGACTAGGTTCTCCAGCTTTATGTTATGGTGGTAGTTAATACCTTTGACATCACAACGACAGTGATGAACAGAAAAAAGAAATAAATCCTTTTTCCTTACCTCTGTCCATCAGATCCGACAAACACCAGCTTCTTAGGCTTGGTTTTGGTTGGCAGAATGTTGACTTCTCTGATTACAGAATCAATGGTGACAATCTACACAGTGTAAAGGAAAAGAGTTAAAATTGTGAACTAGCAAAAATTAAAAAGTTCCTTTTCACCGTCACTCTCATTTACATCCCTCGGCACCATCAACAAAGCCAAATAATCCAGACTGATGGAACAGTGTTCAAAATCACTTGAAACCCACAAAGCACAGTTTTCATTAAATAGAAAACTTGAACTGTGTTTCTATCGAATTATAAAAACACGAGTCGAAGTTTGGGAGAACGAGAAATGCTGTGGGAACACGAGTCAATAGGCGAATGTTTCCACAGTATTTTCCAGGAGTGTTTCTATTAAACCTCGATAGAAACACGAAGAACATGTTTTCTAATTCTTTTAAAAGATTCCACGACGAAAAAGGGAAACAAGTTGTTTACTTTGATTATCAAAATGTAAATTCTCTTTTCTCGCGCCATCATTACGTCAACAGATCGTGCTAGTTCTGTGTTGCTGTAGAGTTATAAAACACGATTTTAAGCCAATCAGCGCGCGTATTTTCTATGGGCTATTTCATAAATGACAACAAACGTACATGGGAAGGAAACATTTACCTTTCCACTGAAATGTGTCTGGCCTGGCATGTAGACTGCAGAAGCTTTTAGACTGGCAAGTGAAGGGCTGATCTCATCCATGTAAAGGGTGTAAGCTGCACGTTTTTGAGATCTGGCCTGGAATGCTTGTAATAGCTGTAAGCATAAAACGAAAGATACATCACGTTAGCACATAAAAAAAATGTGATGTGAGTTTTTCTCGGTGAACATACTTCAAAAATTATCGCAAAAGCAAAAATAAAAGAACTTGTAATTACCTGTTTAAATGGCTCCCAGCTGGACCTGTGGTCAGAAGGATCTGGAGGGTTCTGTAAGGCTTCCAGTGCTGCTTGAATCGTATCACTGTAAGTCATCTGGAACCATTGCTCGTGAGGCGTGGCAGGTTCTTGACAGGTTATTTTGTTCAACTGCTCTATTGCAAAAACAACCTGGAAAAAGCAAAATTCCGGAATTTGATCTCAGTATTCTCCTACCTTGGCCAGTTTCATTCCTTTATGCTTTTCTATCAGATGTTTGGTATTTTTGTACCCTTTGGCCTGTTAACTATTTACAGTCGACTACATCTAAGACAGCCACTATTGAGTCTGTCATTTAGAGAACATCTTACAGAAGAGTTCATTACGAGAGATTTGACAGCATTGTTATTTTTTCAGGGTTTCATCTAACTCAAGTTTGCATTTTACCTTTTTGCAAGATTGAAAGGGGGAATGGAGGTACTAACACTTATTCTATAGGAATTACGGCTATGATTTCATGTTTTTGTGCATTTTCTGACACAATTTGTCCATGGTTGTAGTACGACATGGTGTCTTTAAAGTAATCATCTAATCCAAATATTGCACAGTACTCACGGGTTTCATGATAGCAATATGTTTCTCCCTGATCAGTGTTGCCTTCTGCTGATTGGTTAGATTCTGGTTACCATTGACTCTCTTGATCTCGTCCTCAAGCTGTTGCTGCCGTCGTGTTACGTCATGATGAGTCTGCATAAGGGAGCCATGCCATAATTCCTCCCACAGTAGAGTGATTCTGCGTAACTCCATTATAAAACCCTGCAGGTCAGATACTAGCTGAGGATTGTGTGTTCTAATAGATTCAACGATGGTCTGGTAGCAGCTGGTCAGTGCGTCACTCTCTGTCTTGCCGCCTTGGGCCTCACAGGGTTGGCTGCCTTGATTTTGACTATTTTCTGCCGAGTCAGTGGAAGTTGACACAAGAAGTGGAAGAAGACCTAAAATAACAATAACAACAAAAACAAGACATTGATGTTTTGAACCTCTCCTGCTGACGTCTTACAGAATAGCGTAAGATTAGAAGAATCAATGTTGAAAACGCTTACCCTCTCCTTCTTTGCCTTTACTCAGCAAGTACTTAGGAAGTGACGTAGAACACCCAACCACTGCAGGATAGACTATCAGGTGTGGTGCATCTTGACCCACACGGCACAGCAACTCAGAAACACTCTGCCGTACATAACTTTCTGGGTGATTCAGTCGTGAAAACAGCTGAGGAGTTATGTCTGTCAGGGCACAACAAAGAAGTGTCGTTTAGAAAAGGGCACCTAACATTTCACGGTATAATCTATCAGTGGATCAGGGGATTAGTTTCTAGAGAAAATGTTGCGCTGGATTTGGATAAATAG